TTAATTCATGATGGTATGAAATTTACTAACATATGTAGAGAGAATTTCAATCTCCCCCCCTTTTTTTTTTGGCAGAACCGGGGATTGAACTCAGGCCCTTGCACTTGCCAGCGAAGCGCTTCTTCCACTGAGCCATCAAATTTCAGTCTTCTTATTGTCAAATACACCCTGCTTTGTTAGGGGCACTCTGTGCTGTCAGGATGTCAATCTTATTTTTGACAAGGTCCCTATAGATGAGTTCTCAACTCTGTATTCTTAACTAATACGGGTAGTAAGAGAATGTCCTCCCCCTCTGCTTTCATGAGAACATATACTTTCATTCAAGATTAGCTGAAAGTAGTGTGTTTGTGAGGCGGTTTAAGCCTCCGGGCGGAAAGGTTCCCCTGCAGCTCTAGGCCTGTTATTAACGGCCTCTCAATGGCTCCACAGTTGCTGTCCTCTCCAGTTGCTGTAATGCTGCGCCCAAGGACCTGAATTATAAGGCACTGCGATCTTTGTTTTCCACCAAGAGAGGACTTCCTTCCGCTTTCTTTTCGTGCAGTTGCTGTTACTTTTTTTTTTTTTTAACCTTTTACTTATTTATTTGATACAGAGTCTTGCTATGCAGCTTGGACTCACAGGGATCCTCCTGCCTTAGTCTCCCCAGCTCTGGGATTGCAGGCCTGCGCCACCATACCTGGTTTCAGTGGCTAGAAGATGGCAAGGCATGTGGTACCAGGGATCAAACCCAGGGACTTGCACTTTCCAGCAGGCACTTAGACCGCTGGGCTATCTCCCCAGCCCTCTCTTACATTTTTATCTAGAAAGTTATGGCTACTGATCAGTTGTCCTTTGCTCTTTAGATGGTGTTAATGCCTAATAATGAGTAGGATGTGAGTTTTTAGATTTTTTTTCCCCTGGGAGTTGGAGATAGACTACTCTTAATAGTCTTGTACTAGCTATCAAATGCTACATAACAAATGACCCTCAAATAAAGCACGTTCACCACGGCCATGTGGAATCTTCTAGAGATGGTAGCTCTGGCTTAGGGTCTCTCAGGGCGTTTGTCAGGGTGTTTGCCTGGCCTGTTGCCACCTGAAAGCTTCACTGGCACTGGACTTGGGTGTCCAAGAGAGTGTTGGCTGGTGGTGGCCCATTTCCTGCCATGTGGATCTCTGAACGGCCTTAGGATGACAGCTGGCTCCTCAGGAGGGTGTGATCAAGGGGAGACCATGAAAGAAGCTGCGCTGCACCTTTAACTAAGTCTCAGGAGTCACACGCTGTCATTTTTGCCATATGTCATTTGCCGGCACTGAGTCACTAGGAGTAGCCAGACGTGGGAAGGGAGGGGGATTAAGCTCCAGGTCTTGGGACAAAGCGTATCAAACATTGTTTGGACACATTTCAAAGGCATCTCATGATTCTATTGATTTCTTGCCTTTGTGGCTAGCTCTCTGCAAAAAACAAAGTCAAGAGTTTAGCTAGGGGTCATCAGGTGGACTGATGAGTTCTGTTTCCTCAGTCTTGGGAAAATTTACATAGAATTTCAGCCTTTCAACCTAACCAAATAGGCACTCCCCCCAACTCTAAAAGGATGCAGTATAAGTCAAGTCTGACCAAACCAGATTTCTTCTCCCCGCTCTGCAACCAATACTGCCTCCCGTGGCCAGTAAATAGCTCTACCCGTGGTGTGCCGAGGAAAGGAGTCACTGCTCAGACCTGATCGGGGAGAAGCATGTGATTGTGTTCACCCAGAACAGTCCAGATATAGGCAGCAGATGCTGAACCTGAGCAAGAAGCAGGCTGGCTCTGCTCTGCTGCTCGCTGGCACAGACCAGCCACAGATGGTGACAGTGAGGCTGTGGGTAGCCCTTGGTACTAGGAGCAAGCAGGCATCAAAACCTCACGCTCAAATCATCTGCCACTAAGAAATGTGCAGGACCCACAAGTGGAATGCTGATCTTCAAAACAGAGGCCGAGGTGGCTCCGGCTCCTTGGTGCAAGCTATGGAGAAGGAAGCACTTGGTAGCAGATGGAGAGGTTGCAGGAACAGAGCGTGACTGTCAGGCCACAGAATGGCGTGTCATGCCACAATGACAGATGGTGAGAGAGCAGCCCTGTGAGTGGTGGCGTCCTTCTGCCTTTTCACATTTACGCTGCTTGTGTGTCCGTTCCATGAGACCTCTTTGAGAGCCCTTTTACCAAAGCATTTTGATTTAGAAGTCAAATGTAAGTGCTCCAAGCTGTAGTCTAAGCTGAGCGCATTTCATGGCTTTTCTGGCTTTTTCACATTTACAGATACCCAGGTTTTTGATACACAAATTAATAAGGGAATTATGGAATGCTATTATTTATGAAACTGAGCATTCAGTTTGAAGAGATGCCACACAAGGATAGAGCCAAGAATGGTTTCTTTCCAGTACATTCCTGCCATTATGACACCGGTGCAAGAGCCAAGGAGCTGGGAATCATAAGAAACACACTGAATTTTTACTTCAAGACATATCAACTATACTCATCATTAATGAGAAATCCACTGGCTCTGCTAGCACTGTCTTTAGTAGCAGGCATAAGGGGATGCTTTCAAAAGGTTCTGCCCTGGCCCTTCTGCCACACTCTCACATACCGAATAGAAGTCCACTGAGCCTCCCGAGCCAACCTCAGCTGAGATTGCTGCTTCAGAGCTGGCTCCTGGGTATAGAATTCCTCCCCACAAGGCTCTGAGCCCTCTTCCAGGGCCTGTGTGGCTTTCCCTGGCATTCGAGGATGTACATTCCTGAACCCAGGGATGCAAGGGGAAGTGGGAATGGAGCCAGACGTGTGGGCCAGCTGGTCTATGCCTGGACTGGAGTCACCTTGCAGTGTGGGCTGAACTGGCTATAGAAAGTCACTGCCAAGAAGCTGCTCTGTTGTGGGGGTGGAGATGGGGGGGAGGTGGTGGTAGGTGAGCCCCTCTTCTCGACCTGCTTTGCCCATCTGGGAACTCTCAAGTAGTCCCATCCCAGAATTCTAAACCTAAATCTGGTCTTACAAGTTATCAAAGTATATTTTCCAAGGTGAAAGGACATGATTTTATAGTTTCACAGTTTGTTTTACAACTTACATCCTTAGACAGCCGAGAGGTGGGCTTCCATGGGTAGCTCCTTCCTGGGTCTTGCGAGGTTAGGATTGCTCCTCGCGCACCCCTTAATGCAAAATCACACTGAATCAGCTGAAGGCCTTTCCTTGTTTCGTTCCTGTCTGATCTTACCTCTCAGCTACTCTTCTGCTAGAATCTATCCACAAACTACCCAACTCAGAGCCAGGCTCAGCCCCATGTGTGTTTCTCTGTGCTCAGGCTCACATTATTTCTCTTTGAAAGGCCTCTGTTTCTGCCCTGCATTTATGTGGGCAATCTACTATTGCCACCCAGCTCAAACCTTACAGCGGCAGTTCCTCCCTCTGGGCTTCTCTAGCAGCTTTTGTCTGAGCCAATTATTGGCACTCAAAATGTGCAACCATGTGTGGATATTTTTCTTATTATGCACAAGGTGTGGCTAGAAGATAAGGAGGCATCAATATGCAACAGTTTTCAAGCCAGGAAAGCAAACTGAAAGAAAAAATTCGGAAGAGTAGCTGGGATGGAGTTAGGTCCTAAAGGAGGGGACAGGCAGCGCTGTCAACAAGCTGCAGAGGTCCCTGGGGAAAACATCCTGAAATACACTATTTGTCCATTAGGAAAGTGGCCTTTTGTAACCACTGAAAGAGCCCCAGATCGTGTGGGGCAAAAGCAACACGGCAGGTGGGGGTGAGGACGAGAAAGCAGACACAGAAAATAGACTTGAATGTTTTTCAGGCAACGCGATTCTCAGAAGAAAGATAGGGCAGCCTGAGTGGGTGGAAGAGGCAGTGGTTGTGCTTGGTTCCAAGATGGGGGAGTCAGTGCTTTGGGGGGAGAAAGGACTGAGGGAAAGACGCGGATAATGGGGAAGGCTGACTAAACTACATGTGGGCACGGCAGCGATCAAGTCGGTGCACAGGTGCAGGGGTTAACCTTGGTGAGAAGAAAGGGCACTTCCTGCTGTGGCTAAGGAGAGCAAGGGAAGATGTGAAAGCTACAGCGTGGGCATAATAATGAGGAGACGGGGCTTGAGTAAGGGACTGCTGCCACTCTACAGGAAGAGCTAGGAAAGCCTAGGTTTCGTGTGTTTCAACAGCACAGTCTCCGTTCATTCATTTTCCATTTATTCCACGCCCTGCGCGTGTTGAGCACCTCTGGACACCGCCGCAAGGACACGTCTCTCCACATCGTTTTGGAATTTGCTCCGTTGGTGACTCAAGTGCGATTCACTTTTTACTCTTAGAGAAAGCTTGGACGAAATCAGAAGAGTCCTTTGCGGGGCCAGATGTCCCGGGTTGGGGGCTTGGAACACAGGGGCAACTTAACGGAGTCACCCTGTTGGAAGCGCAGAGGGGAGTGAGGCCGAAAGGGGGAAGGGGGTATCTGTGTCAAACGAAAGTGTAGACGCGGGTAACCCGACGCGGGTGCCCCTGTAACCTGGAAGATGGGATCCTCCAGGGAACTACAGAGATTACTGTGATCAAAGGTAGGAAAGCCTCAGTTGACACTAGTGTAAGGCCGACCTCCTCCCCTACCCTGGTGAGTGTACGGCAGCCGATCAGGACCAAACACCAGCCAAGCCGCATCACCCAAACTACCTTGAGGAATGTCCATTGCCTCTTACTCCTTCAGGTCACTACTACTCGGCTCACAGTTCATCGATGAAGGGCGGGGCGAAGCCTCGTTCTTCTTTTACAAGTGGTCATCGTGGGCTCCGAGTCCCGCCTCCTCCTCCGCCGTCGATAGGCTGCCGGGGCTGTCACTCGAGGAGCCGCCGCGGCCCCGCCCCCGCCGTGGCTGGGATCTCGCGGGAAGAGGCGGGCTCAGCGGCGCTCAGTCTCCAGGCTGCGCGCGGAGCGGGAGGGCTTGCCTCACAGCTGCGCTTCCTCGCGCGGAGGTCGGAGCTGCGGCACCGCAGGCCTGGGCCGTCGCTCGTGCGCCGCCCTGCTCTCGTCTTTGGGGCTCTGCGTCCGCTCGCCCTTCGCCGCTGCCCAGGTGTGGAAGCCCGGCGCGCGGTTCCGCGGTGGGGAGGGCGGGATCCGGGCGGGGGCGGCTCCGGGGCTGAACCGACTCGGGGTGCGAGGTTCGGGGAACGCTGCGAGGTCTGGGGCGGGGGCGGCGCGCTGGGTCCCGAGGCTCCCCGCGCTTGGGTGGCCGCAAAGCGGGCCCCAGGGCTTTGGGGTCTAGGAGGATGTGCCAGGGTCCCGCGATAGCTTGAGGTGGGCTGGTGAGGTGCGGGGGCCAGGGGGTTTCATACCAAGGTCCGGGCTGCGGGGGCCAGAGGAGCTGCTGAGCAAGATCTCGAGCGCTGGAGGACCGAGCCTCAGGGTCCTGGGGTTCCTCCGAGCGGGGGTGGGTGTCCGTTCCGCAAGCCTGGGATAAAGCAGCGGAGTGTCGGGGCTCCAGGGACGGGGGGTCACTCGGTGGGAGTCTCGTGATCTTAGGGAGAAGTGTCTGTCCACAGGGGCTGGGGCTGTCCTGGGGGCGTTGGAAGCGAAAGGGAGTATCGCGGAGAGGGGTACCGCCGAGATCGAAGTCTGTTCTGGGCTTTCTGCTTTGCCCAGAGGAGGGCAGTACCCAGGCATGGTCCCCATTTGTTTTGAGGGCGACAGGGCGAGTTAGGGTCGCTTCCACTCGGCGATCTCGCGGAGTGGGCGCGGCTCGGCAGGCGTGGGTCCCCTGGCGGTGGGAGGGGGCTTTAGTGGCTTCCGGAGTCGTGGGCTGTAGTTGTCTAGCGTCGCTTTGAGTCTGGTCTACTCTTTTAGAAGCGATTGGCTCGATGGTGCTTCGTTGGGGGGATTGAACCGTGTTGCTGCCTAGTTGGAAAAATAGTGGGTTTGTTCAGCAGTTTTCGTTTCTCCGCCCCGGGATAGCCGTGGGGGCGCGCCGGAACGCGGGCGTGTGGGCGGAGGTCCTGCAGGAGGCGAGCGTCTGCCGCAGCTGGTAGCTGTCAGGCTGAGGAAGGCTGTGGATTCGGCTGCTTCTCCTAGGTGGTCTGCTTGGAGGATCCCGCGTTGGCAGATCAGCCGCGAAGTCTTCTTGCCCAACTGTTGTGGGGAAGGTTAACTTTCCGTTTAACTGCCAAAAGATGTATTGGAATTGAAAGCCCCAGAGGTAAATCTGCAGAACCGTCCTTTGCAAACTGCTAAATGTGGCTAATAAAAATATATATAGCTTAATAGATTTAGGAGGCTGAGGAAGGAGGGTTGAAAGTTCCAGCCCAGCTTGGGCAGTTTATCGAGACCCTGTCTCTAAATAAAATTTTGAAAGAGGATTGGGAATGTATTTAGCTTCAAAGGCCTTGAGTTCAGTTTCCGTTGGGGGGGATGGGGGGGGCAGCGGGGAAAGGAGGAAGGGTAGGGTGGGGGAGGTGGGGGAGTGTAGAAAGTATTAAGAGTTGCTTTAGAGAACCTTGCTAATCAATTTGATCTTTCACTGTTCTGAGCGTCTACTCCGGATTTAGGTGTAATTTAAATAAAATGACATGTATGTATGTATGTATGTGTGTGTATTGGTTTTTTATGTCAGAAAGCCTATGCGCTTGCCTGACAGTACTGGTCTCCATTAGGAAGCCCAGCGTGACAAGCACTGGCTCCTATGTTTATCATAGTTCTGTAAATTTATAATCTGTGGTAAATGGACAGATTCGAGTACATGATAAAGAATTGTGCCTGCCAGTTTTTTCATGTCGACAGTTATTTATAATTGTGTTTCTTTTCATCTGAAAATTAGGGATAATACACTGGTTTTTTTAATTTTGCAATAATTTTTAACGAACAAGGAATGTGGTGCCGTGTAAGTTACATATCCAGGGATATCCAGCCTCTTTAGGGGGCTTAAAGTAGGTTTGTGATGGTTCAAACCAAAATACATGGTTGGCCTATTTTTTATTTATTTTACTTTTATGTTTTTGGTAGGGCACATTGCACCTGAGTCTTCTAGGCAAGCACTATACCACTGAGCTGCAGTCTTAACTTGTTTCGAGGCAGACACTCCCCAGGTTGCCCAGTGCTGGCCTCAAACTTTCCAACCTCCTGCCTCAACCTCCTGAGTCAGGATTAAATTGCGTACCGCCGAACCCTGCCTGCTTGGCTTTTCCTTTTCCCGTTCATTAAAACCAGTCAGTTGAGCAAGTGTTTGAAAGTAGAGCCTAAAAACCTAAGTGGTTATTTTTTTCTCCTCTATTGTAGATAGACAAATGATAGATTATTTTGGTTTCAGAAATTTTTCTGAAAGAGCTTTTGTGATTTCTTACGTAAGCATAGACTGGTGAACAAATATATAATTATCTGGTGGGTATCACAGCGTTGGAGGTGTATGTACCCTATATCGAGATGGAGCAGAAAGCAGTAAAGTATGATGCTGCTAAGGAAGAAATACAGAGTACTTGGGACTTGGCACTCTTTTTTTTCTATAACTCCCAAATGATAATATAATTGATGTGTTGTGAGAACCAGGGACTAAGCAAGGTAGTACTCTATACTTTCTGTATTATTAATGCAAGATTAAGTAGAAACCAGTAGTGTTTGGTTGTTAACTGTATGTTGGCTCTTTGAGAATGCTTATGTTACATACATATAACAAGGCTTTTAAGAGTGTGCATCAAGGGGCCAGGGAGATGGCTCGGTGGAATAAGCGCTTCCCTGGCAAGTGCAAGGGCCTGAGTTCAATCCCTGGTTCCACCAAAAAAAAAAAAAAAGAATGTGCATCAAGGGCTGGCAAAATAGCTCACTGCACAAAGTGTGCCTGCTTAGGCAAGTGTTCTTTCCTGGGCACCATGTGGTGCTCTGGCCCCAATCCCAGAGCCAGCTGAGTGGGTCAGAGAGGCAGGGTTTGTAATCCCATCGCTGGGGAGGCTGGAGACAGGAGGATCACTGTGAGTCTGAGCTGCGTAGTGAGACAGACCTTCTACCAAATGCATTAAAAAAAAAGTGTGCATCACACTCATCCACGTTTGGAGGACTGTTCAGGAAGGAGCTGCAGAGGTGTGGTAGAGAGCCGTTTAATTTATATTTTTATGCTGCTTAAAGCAGTTTTAGTGGGTAGACGTGACCAGGGCAAAACGGAGAAGTCCAAATAGTAAAATATATTCAACACTGCAGATTTTGTGACATGTACAGTATTTGAAAGTCGTTTTGTCAATGTTGCCATTGCCACCTGTTTGTAGTAATGAAGGAAAAGTAAGGGAAGGTGGGAACACAACAAAATAAGAAAAGATGCAGGCCAAAGGAAAGTATTAAAACATGCTAAAAAAGATGTTGAGTGTGTGGTTATATAAAGTTAAATTAATCTTAGCTCTTCTGTCAGATTTGCTTCCTGAATTTGAGAAAGGAAGATTTTAGACCCCTGGAGAAGTTTGTTTTTGTGGTGGGGTAGTATATGTTCTTACTGTAGTACAGACTTTTGCTAAAAGTTTTTTAAAAATCAAGACAAAACAGGGTTTCCCTGAGCGGTTCAGGCTGGCCTTGCACTCATGTAGCCCGGGCAGGCCTCGAACTCACATCAGTCTTCCTTCCTCAATGTTTTACCTTGGATGCTTTTTACTTGGAAAATAACTGTATTTGTGGGGTTTGGGGGATTAAGGGTGGGTACTGCAGATTGAACACAGGGCCTAGCACTAAACTATATCCCTAGCACTGTGTAATCTTTAATTTTGAGATTGGGTCCCACATAGTTGCCTAGAGTGGGCACAGACTTGCTACCCACTGCCTCAGCCTCTCAGAGTGCAAGGATTACAGACCTGTACCACCACACCTACTTGTAGTGAATATTGACATGTGGAAACATGTAACCACTAACCAGATCAAAGAATAGGCGTTCCTAGGGCTTTAGAAAACTCCCTCGTATTCTTTTCTACTTGGTACTTCCTAAAGATAACCACTTTGCAGGTCTGCATTACTTTTTGTTGTTGTTGTTACTGTTGTTAATGTATTTGATACAGGGCAGCTCCGACTCCTAGTGATCCTATGTTTAGCCTCCAAAGCGCTGGAATTATAGTCATGTATAGTCATGTGCCACTGAGCCCGGGCTTGGTGGCCAGCGCATCGCGTCCCGGGGCAGGGCTGGTCCCCAGCAACATGTGGTGTGAGGGATTGAATTCAGGTCCCTGCACTTGCCTAAGCAGGCGCGTAGTCCACTGAGCTATCTTGCTGGGCCCCCTTTACTATGGATTAGTACTTATTCCTGTACTTCATATAGTGAAATCAGGTCATTGTTTTACGTTTCCTCGTTTGACATGATGTCGGTGATACTCATGTTTTCAGTTAGCAATAGCTTGTTCTTTTCCATTGCTGCTGTCAGTTTCTAGCTCTTAGAAATAAAGCTGTTCTGAATAGTTTTGTGCTTGTGTGTTGGTGGGCATAAGAATTCATTTCTTGAGTAATAACTAGGAGCTCACGTGTGGCTGTCTCATGCATACAGGTATTTCTCAGCACCCTCCCCCCATACAGGCATACACAAGACCCTCAGCTGCAGGGTTTGCAGCTGTCGCCTGAGTACCACTAGCAAGGTCTCCTGTGGCATTCAGACCTTGTCCATCAATAGAAAGAAGTGTCTTCCTTTGGGTCTTTGCTGCTCCCATCCCAGCTTCTCATCACTGACCTGGGGGAAAAAGAGGCCAGCTCCCCACTAGAGCTCTAGAGAAAGATGCCGGTATTGGGTGTTGGTTTTTAAAACCTTCCAATTTGATAAGCAGAAGGTCATTTTTTAATTTCCTTAATTGTAAATGAAGACGAGCGCTATGATTTTTTTTAAATTTCTGTGCAGTACATTGGATTGTGCCTGTTAGGCATATATTTTACTACTGAGCAGCATCCCAGCCTTATTTGATTTTGAGGCAGCGTCCTACTAAGATCCCCTGGCTGGCCTAAACTTGTGATCTTCCTGCCTTAGATTCCTGAATTGCTGGGATTAGAGATGTCACTGGGTCCATCTTATGTTTTATAAGCAAGCAGATGTTAAAACATGTCATGAATTCTTTCATAAGGTATTATATG